AATATATGAATTTGTTATATTTAAACTAAGCACATTTTATCAGGGAATAAACGGTTGAACAGAGATGAGCATTGAAATCTGTGTTTGAGTCCACGTCATTGGCAGGTCTCCAGCTCTCTGCATTAAAAAGCCGCCTGTGATACAGCTCAGGCCCTGTTAACCCGAGGCCAGGATGAACGCGGGACCACACATTCACAGCTAGCTGTCAGACAACAGCTCACAGATACTCTGATTCATGCGTATTTGTGAATGACGTCTGCTGCATTCACTGTTCTGTATCTCTTGTTGACGTACACTCCTAAAATGTGTGAATGTTATTTAATTATTCATTATTTATTTACAGCGTTTTCTTAAAGGGACTGCTGTTTGATTTTATCCATCAAAATCAATCCTAATGTTTTTTTCATAACTATTTTCCTTCCTTTTATTGGTACTTACAAATAGCTGTTTTTGCAATTGTGATCTTAAATAAGTGAAATTTTATGCTGTGATTTGTGAATGTTCATGTTAATATGCTTAAATATGATGATTTCTGAACCTACACTGGTCAAAAGTTTTGGATGATTTTTGATGTTTTTGAAAGAAGTCTCCGCTCACCAAGGCTGCATTTAATTGGTTAAAAATACAGTAAAATATTGTGAAATATTATTACAATTTAAAAATAATTGTTTTCTATTTTAAAATGTAAATTATTCTTGTAATGGCAAAGCTATATTTTTTCACCATCATTACTCCAGTCTTCATTGTCACATGATCCTTCAGAAATCAATCTAATATAATAATTTGGTGCTTAATTATTAATCATGTTTATATTATCGTAGGGCTGTCAAACGATTAATTGCAATTAATCGCTTCCAAAATAAAAGTTTGTGTTTACATAATATATGTGGGTGCACTGTGTATAATTATTTTTTATATATAAATACACACTCATGCTTGTATATATTTAAGAAATATTTTCATGTTATTTTCATATATTTCATATTTTCATTTTTCATTTATATTATATATAGATTTATTTTATATATAAATAATATTTTCTTCTTAAATGTACATTCATGTGTGTGTATTTATGTATATATACAAAATAATTATACACAGTGCACCCACATATATTAGGTCAGCACAAACTTTTATTTTGGATGCGATTAATCGCGATTAATCATTTGACAGCCCTAATTATTAACAATGAAATTATATTCTTTGCTGAAATATATATTTTTTATTATTTAAATCTTACTTACCCCTTACTTTTGAATTTTCCACAGACATATTGAGCAGCACAAATGTTTTCAACATTGAAAAAGATTTTACTCTTGCGCACCAACTCATCATATTAGAGTGATTTCTGAAGGATCATGTGACACTAAAGACGGCTGCTGAAATTTCAGCTTTGCCATCACAGGAATAAATGACATTTTAGAATACCTACACATATTCTAGCTTGTAATAATATTCACGTGTGTGTGTGTTCCTCACAGGTGTGCTCTCCTCCCTCCTGAAGCTTCACCACGGCCCTCACCTGTGTGCTCCACTGTTTCTCCAGCGAGTCGTCCTGGACGTCCGGCCCTTCCTGCTCCGCCCCCGTGCCGTCTCCCCCGCCACGGTCGCCATGACGCGCTCCAAAACCTTTCAGGCCTACCTGCCCAACTGCCATCGCACCTACAGCTGCATTCACTGCCGAGCGCACCTGGCCAATCACGATGAGCTCATCTCAAAGGTAGTCTCTTTTAGCATGTATCGCGTTCACGTGTTAGGGTAAATACCAAAAGCCGACGTGGAAAATGCACATGAACACCCCCTCATGTGGGATTTTCCACTGGGTAACTCGTAGAATATTTTGATGGACGGGTTGCCGAGATGAGGTAACCTTTGACCTTTTCAAAATGGCGGAGAGCAACGCGAGAGTCGTGAATGGTAAAAATATGTACTATTCATGATCTAGAAAATATACAGCATATTATTTACTGTTTGAGTTTTGATAAATCATCTTGCTGTTGCAGATGACTAAGCAATCTAAAATAGTTTTAGCTAAATAACAGGTCTGGATCTCCATCTTTTGATCTTTAGCACTTGAACGTAACACACTGGTAAATACCAGTTCACAAGTGGAAAATATCCTATTTTCCATAGCACGTGAACTCAGCATTAATCAAACCTGTACGTAACCTCACATCAGGACAGTTACAATTAACTCAGTGTTTCAATTTTAGACAGACTTCCTGTTAAAAGCTCATCAATCACTACATGTTTTTAAATTAGTTGCACAATGTTTAACATATACCATGGAATAACAAAAGTCATTAAAAATGCAAAATCTCATTTGTATATTTTCAGTGCTGTGTACTAATGCTTGATTTGTTTTTGCATTAAAATATGTATTTGAAAAATTTGCGTATGTATTTGTGTAATGTGAGCTTAAAAATGGTGTATTATAATCTGTATACATTTTTTTGAGAAATTAATGATTTTGTTCAGCAAGGTTGCATTAAATTGATCAAAAGTAACGGTAAAGACATTGCTTCTAAATATTTAATCTCAAATAAATTAGAATTTTATATTCTTCAAAGAAACCTGAAAAAAAATATATCACAGTTTTCACAAGAATATGAAGCAGCACTACTGTTTTCAACATAGATAATAATAAGAAATGTTTCTTGAGCACAAAATTAGCCTGTTAGAATGATTTCTGAAGGATCATGTGACACTGAAGACTGGAGTAATCATGCTGAAAATAAATTGCATTTTAAAATAGAAAATGGATTTTTGATTGTAATAATATTTCACAATAATACTATTTTTATTGTGTTTTCGATCAAATAAATGTAGCCTTGGTGAGTATTTTATTATTTCAAAAGCATTTAAAAAATATTATTAACCACAAACATTTCAGCAGTAGTGTAAATATTTTTGGTAACACTTTACAATCAGGTTTCATTTGTTAACATTAGTTAGCTACATGTCACATGATGTGGGCAGACACCGATGGCACACTGTTTGTGAGGTGTGTGTTATTAATGTATATGGGTGGAGAAATTAAACAAAAGGTGTCAAGGATTAATAATAGCACCTGTAATCCATAATGTGAACATTGTGTGTGCGAGTTTGGCTTTTGTCTGTGCATGGAGTGTGTGTGCAGGCAGAATGTGGGTCGATAAGGCACTCGGCTGCCTGACGTACGTCACAAAATCAAGGATGAAGGGAAGCAGGTCATCATATGGGCTTTTGTGTGCCACAAGAGTAAGAGTAATCACGTCTTTGCAGATGAACACCTACATATACCCATAATGCACCACTAAATTCTGTGCCCAGGGTGCCACGGTCTGATAGACCGTGTGTGTGTGTGTGTTCACAGATTAGAAAAGATTGTTTTTGCTACATTCAATAGTTTGCAAAATAAACCCAGTGGTATCTGGTCTGACGAGGCTAACTTGTGTTTCAAGGAAAGTGAGAGCGCTACAGGCGGTTCTGAAGGCGGATTTAAGGGTGAAATGATAATTAGATTTCAATTAGTTCGAATCCCTCTATACTAAACGCATGTCAGAATGGACCGACATAATAAATGTAGTAGCTTAAAGTAGGTTAATACAGTTTTGTACATTAGGAGGCTAATGTTATGCTTCAACCATAAGGTAGTGTTACAGAAAACCTAATACAGCATTTACACGATTGATTAAATATACAATTGAAAATGCTATGTAATCAATATATCTGAATACATATTAAAATGTAATTAATTAATGTGTTACTTTTACAGCTCTTAAATACAAAAATAAGGTAATTTACTCAACACTGAAAACAAAATATAATTTCAATCTAACAGTCATGTTTCATGCAAGACGTCATTACAGAATAATAATGCATCATTTTGAATTGATTAAATAAAAAAACAGGCTGTTTTCACAAAAATATTAAACAGTGCAAATTAAGAAATGTTTCTTGATCACTAAATCAATAGCCTATTTTAGATTGATTTTTTGATGCATCATGTGATCTGAAGACTGGAGTAATGATGCTGAAAATTCAGCTTTGCCATCATAGGAATAAATTACATTTTTAAAATCCTGTATACAATGTTAGATTGTAATAATATTTCACAATATTTTAACATTTGACTATGTTTTTAGTCAAAGGAGCCTTACAGAGACTTACAGACTCCAAATGTTTGAATGTCAGTTTTCATTATGTTTATGAAATATTTTCCTTACACTTTAAATATACTTGTGTTTATATGTATACATCTAATTAAAAATGTTTTAAAACATATTTTTAGGTTAAATACTTTAAATAAGTTACTCTAAATCTGAAAACACTGAAAATGTGTTTGAACATGTGTTGAACCATCTGTTGAATCATTGAATCTGATGAATGAATCATTTAATTCATTTTGATGTATTGGATCAGCCAGTTTAAACTGATTCACAGAAAATGAGTCCAACACACTCTAAAAGAGTTTATGATTATGTTCACGTGTTTAATGTATTTTGTCTCAAGTGTTTACCTTTTGTTGGCATGGTTTCAGTCGGGTAGGTTAATTAGGCTTAAGATAGATAAAGAAAGCTATTCTGTTCCATATAGCACAGCCAAAATGAATCCGCCCTAATGATCTTATATGGCCAAACCGCCTCCAAACACCCATAATTATGACCCTGGTCCTGCTTTGCGTCATGCCTGGGAAATCCTGTCCTCATGAATGGAGCAGAGACGGGAATTCGATTTTTTTTTTTTTTTTTTTCTTCCCAATAGATTACCTGATTGGGCAGTCACAGTACAAGTAAATGATGTTAAACTACTTTTGTAACGCATAAGCCAGCCAATTCAGTAATCTCTCTGTTTTATTTCCTTTGCAGTCTTTTCAAGGGAGTCAAGGCAGGGCATATCTCTTCAACTCAGTGTAAGTCTTGTAGTTTGTCATCATAACCATGCAATAGAAAGTGGTAAAGCAACAAGCAAAATATAATTTCAGAATGTTCATGATTTTTGTTGTAATCTTGACATCCTCTTTTCATGGATCAGGGTGAATGTGGGCTGTGGCCCAGCGGAGGAGAGGGTACTGTTGACCGGTCTCCATGCGGTGGCCGACATCTACTGTGAGAATTGTAAAACCACTCTGGGCTGGAAATATGTGAGTTCGGGATCACACCTCAGACAAACAATCATGATCGTTAAACACCGGATGTCAGTGGCGTGCATAGGGGGCGTGCCCCGTCCCTGTCCCTTCCCCTGCCCTGCCCCTTTTGTCTCAAAATGTATTGTGCCCTTTTCTGACAACTGTAAATAATAATAATAATAATTATAAATATTGTAATAAATACCAATACACTTGCCACCCATGACACTAACAATAATAATATAAACAAATATTATATATATAAAGGCGTTTCCTTTGCAACGCCTCGCACGCATTTAAAGGGATAGTTCACTTTGAAATTAATTTTTGGTATGTTTTAGCTTACCTCAAGGGCATCCAAGATGTAGGTGTCTTTGTTTCCACAGTTTTTTCAATTTTGATATTTTTAGGTCAGTCATATAATGGAGGTCTATGGTCACCACCTCAAAGAGCATGCACAGAGAAGTCCAAATTAAACATGATTTAATGACTCGTAAATGTAAGTACACATTGATAGCCTAAGACACGAAACGAGCGGTTTGTGTGAGAAAACCAACAGTATTTATATAGTTTTTACCTCTTGTAACCACAGACACGTCCAAGTGATCTGAGGGCAAGGGCGCTTCTTTCTTCTGTCTATATTTATATATACACACACACACACACACACACACGTGTCTATAATTACGGAAAAAAATATTATTTATATATAAAGTATTTATATATATAATATAAATTATATATAAATCTATATACATGAAAATATTTCTTAACTGTATACAAGCAAGTGTGAATATATATATATATATGAAGAGTTCAGATGCAAAAGCCTCTAAGTGCCATTTGAAATTTTCATTCTAGAATGATCATTTTTATCAAGCTTGTATATTTAAGTTCAGTGATTTCACTTAAATGGCAATGATAATTACCTATTAATTGTTATTTAAGTGAAATTACTGAACTTAAATATACAAGCTTGATAAAAATCATCATTAAAGAAGAAAATTTCAAATGGCATTTAGAGGCTTTTGCATCTGAACTTCATATATAAAATAATCATACACAGTGCACCCACATATATTATGTAAACAAAAACTTTTATTTTGGATGTGATTAATCGTTTGACAGCCCTAATGAATTCATTAACATGATTAACATTTCAATTTAAAGAATAAGCATATCGGAATAGATTTAGAAGTTGGCACTTGTTATCCAGCACACATGTAGTGAAACGTCTCTTATATTCTAATACTTCATTTGATTGACATATCCAGAAAAGCTCCCCGTTATTTTTTACATCAACAGATCTTGACTTTGAGGTGACCACACGCTCGATCTCTTGACCGTTTCTGTTTTTCTCTCTCCCTTCTTTAGGAGCATGCCTTCGAAAGTAGTCAGAAGTACAAGGAGGGCAAATTCATCATCGAGCTGGCCCACATGATCAAGGACAACGGATGGGACTGAAGACCCTGAGCTCTCCATCCTCGAGGCCCATAACGCTGGAAAGAGACATGCAGCATATGAATAATTGGTTTCATTATCTGGCTGTAACTTCCTCCCTGGAAATCTATCTACCTGACACACACCTCTAAACCTTGAGGGTGCAAGGTTCATAGCAGCAGCAGCAGCGCTCCCCCCATCCCATGTGTGTGTGTGTGTGTGTGTGTATATACACACATATATACGCGTTTGACTGGACCAATATGTGCCAGCTAGACACCAAGTGTTTATATTATGTGAGTATTTTCCTATTCTATTCAAGGGAGTGCACAAATCGACATTTGCTTTCCTCTGGGTTGGCCGAGGTCACGCTCAGGTTTAACTAATGGCTGGATCCATGGTAAAAGAAGGGTGAAAGACGAACCCACTTAGCACGGCACCTTTTAACTCATTGGTGTTTTAAACAAAGCAAAAACACACTAAAACGGAAGCGTCATCCATTTGTTTCCCGTACGTGTCTTTATTTCTTCTAGTCTTGTCATTATCATTTGCATGTTGTTTATTTATACGTATATTTATTGATTTTGACGTGGTTGGTAAACCGTAGCAACCACAGTGGTCTTTGACTAGTGGAATTAGCCATGTTTGATAGAGGCTTGTACGTACACTTCCTCTCCAGATTGTCATCTGTCTCCTTTTGAATGTGGTTATGGAGTAAATGAGGCATTCGTATGCCATTTATAGGGCACAGGTCGCGTACGTTAGCTAGCACGAGGCGTTCTTACAGCCTGTGATGTCACATTCGGTCTCCAAACCACAAATCATGTGGTAAACCAGACTTTCTCACATCGTGTTTTGCGGAAGAACGAGATTGGCGGCTTGTAAACGTGGCCATAGAACAAGGTAATCGTCAATAAAAAGCCTTGGCGCAACCAAAGACTCGTTCATCAACTAGACGCTGACCAAACCGAGTCTGATTTCCTGATTTTGGTTCAGTTGTATTATCAAGTCGATTTTCAATGATTTTTGGTGTTAATGTCTTATTTTATTGCGTGTGTATTTATGATCAGTCATCATGTATTATTTTAGCACTCTGTATTTATCGCTCTGTGGGACCACTCCACCGATTCCAACTTTTTTTTATATATGTATCACTTCAGATGCTTTTTTTCATGGAGAAATCTATGTGAGATAAAATTGGAATCAGTATTTTAGTCTGATATCAATAAAGCTCTCATTTTACGAATGTCCTTTTGCCATTGGTCTTCATTAGAGAGTGTATTATTTTACTCTTATTTTCACCAAGGCTGCATTTATTTGATCAAAAATACAGTATTGGGTAATATTATTACAATTTAAAATAACTTCTATTTGAATACATTTTTGAAATGTCATTTATTTCATGTAAATGACATGCAAAGCTGAATTTTAAGCGTCTTCATTGCATTGTCACAATAATTCTAATATGCAGGTTCATTTCTTATTATTATCATTGTGCAGCTTAATATTTTTGTTGAAACCAAAACACATTTTGTTTCAAGGATCTTGGTACAAAAGAACAGGATTTATTTGAAATAGAAATCTTTTGATCAATTTAATGCAACCTTGCTGAATAACAGTTTTCAATTATTTTATCAAATCGAACTTTTCTGCTCTCTGTCATTCTTATTTTTAAACTTCTGCCTTATGTAAATCATGGGTTGCTGCAAATGAATTTTGAGAGGAGAGTTCAAATGTTCCCTGAGGCCTGTATATGCTGAACCTTGTACACTTTCTCCGCATGCAGTGTGTGTTTGTGTGTGAAAGAGCAGGAGTGTGTGGGGTGGCAGAGCCAGGAAACATTGTTTACAGCAGCAGATGGTGGGCAGGCTCTCATAACCATGATACAAGGAGCAGCCATGTGAATGACAAATATTGTTCCCCCCCCCAGGCAACACTAAAACCATGAATCCATTGTTTTGTTCAGGCTCCTGTTGGAAATGAACACCCTGTAACATCTATTACAGCTTCACATTAATGATAGAGACTGCTTTCTATTAAAGATTTTCTATTAAAGATTCTATTTTCAGTTTGCACAGAAACTGTCTTTTGGACCTTGAACCGTTTGGTTCCCATTGAAGTCCATTATATGGAGAAAAATCCTGGAATGTTTTCATCAAAAACCTTAATTTCTTTTCGAGTGAAGAAAGAAAGACATGGACATCTTGGATGACATGGGGGTGAGTAAATTATCAGAAAAAGTTTTTTTAAAAGTGAACTACTCCTTTAAAGGGATAGTTCACCCAAAACTGATCATCATTTACTCACCCGCAAATTGTTCCAAACCTGTATGTGTTTATCTGAACACAAAAGAATATATTTGGAAGAATGTCAGTAACCAAACAGTTGTAGCATTTATAGCATTTTTTTCCTATCATGGAAGTCAATGGTTACCATCCAATGTCTGGTTACCAACATTCTTCAAAATATATTTTTCAGTGTTTAGCAGAAGAAAGAAACTCACAATAAAATAAAATAAAAACTATAAATGGAATAAATGGAACTAGAAAGCTTAATATTTCTTGTCTAACATTTCTTTTTGTTTCCACAAATATTCACTCATGATCTCTTTATCTTGGCTTGAAAGGCTTGATAAAATTGCAGCAGGCAGCATTGAGCTGTGTTTGTACACAGGTCAGAAGTAATCCATGTCCAAGAAATCACACACATTGGTTGTCTGAAACCAGTGCGGAGATTACAGCATCCCTAATCCAAAGACTCTTATTGGGAACATTTGCTCATATGCATCAGAGTGTTGGAGATGACTGTATGATTTGGATGTATAATTTTTTTTAGTGCAACTTCATGTGACTGCCATTTAATATCAGAGTATTGCTTTATATTGGCTTTGGTGCGTCTGTTAATGTGGTTTGCTTTGGTTTATATGTTGATTTGCTTTACAGAAGAGCTGTCTCTTGCCATCTCTCTCCATCATAGAGACACTCACCCACTCTGTCTGGGATGGATATCACATTTATTTTTAGACACAGTGGGTTTGGCCAGCAAGAAGCTTAGTATACATCATGTGGCTGAGGCAGGCAGCTTTACTGTAGAGAGAGAGAGAGAGAGAGAGAGAGAGAGAGAGAGAGAGAGAGAACCTCTACCCTATCCCAAAGTTAGATAGCTGCTTTAAATGTACCATTCATACAATAAACCATAAAAAAGCAGTGAAAATAAAAAGTATTTATTTTTCATGGTAGTTTTAATTTTACCGCCTTTTTAATGTAACATGTTCAATGTGATGAAATACACTTGTGTGAACTAGTTTTGAGGGAAAAGTCTTGCAGATACCTTCTGATTTTTATAATTTTCTTATGATGTAAAGGATTTTGTTGTTTTCGGAGTCAGTTTACATCAGTGAATATGCATGAAGCAATACATCACGTGACAAACATCAACCAAGTCAGAAAGTCAGGCAACACATATGTATTCCTGGCCCTTTAAATCGATAATTCAGCACTAAATATGCCATTTGTTTTTCTTTGTCTGAGGTAAAGAGGGAGAGTCGTATGAAGTGGGGTCCATCTAATCAGGAAACCCAGAGGCTGTGGTCTGGGGGAAGGGGCTTGTTTGAGGTAATTATGCTGCCCTCACACAGCGGCAGATGGTTTGGGAGGGGAACGGGAGGAAGGTTAATGTTAGTAACAAAGACAAAACTGGTCTGATGCAGGAAATTGGCCACAAGAAAACCAAAAGACTTTTCCTTTGCTCCTTCTCACTGACTTCCCCTCAAAATAGTGAAAAGCTCTTCGACTGATTCATGTAAAAACAATGGAGGATGATTTGATTAAATAGCACCTCATGGGGAGATTAAAGAGGGGAGCCCTATACTGTCTAAAGCAGATTTGCAGAAGAGGAATGTTTTACAGGAGGTGGCCTCTGCACTTCCTGGTTGAAGCCGGGCCACTAATCTGAGGCTTGGCAGGTTAAAACCATTAGACCAGCAGAAGGTATGTGCCATCTGCACTGAGCTCATAAGAGAATAAGGCCAATGAAGAGAATCGAGGGGGTGCCTGGATGTAGCCTGGCCAGTCTGTGTGTGTGTATACATACATTCATGATGAAAGTGCTCAAAGCAAAAGAATACGACCCTCCGCTTGGCAAACAGCCACACGCACCATCCGGGAAAAAAAAACGGCTGAAGCATGCTGAATGGAAATGAGCATTTTAGGCTTTGGGTAACACACCTGCCCTTTTAAAATGATGGAGCAGCTGGGTTACGGTTGTCCTGCTTAACCAAATGCTAAGCTGATATCAACTACAGGCCACCTGCGGTGCAGACATTACCCATGAGTTGAAACGGGCATTGCCAGGTGCATCCTTTCCATGCTGTGCCTGATAGAATCTAATCAGGATTTTCCAACACATTTGCAGCTTATTTTGTAACGCATTCGGGGGTGTTGTTTAAGAAACTCACATAAAATAAACATTAGACAGTCTCTAAAGCAGGGGTTTTCAATCTTTTAGACCCCACAGACAGACCCCCAAATCATGCACTAAAAATAATATCGTACATCAATTGTTTTCTAGGTATTTTTTCTACTCACTATAGTATTGTATTGTTAGTTTATTTTAATCTAATTTATTATTATTATGATTATACAGTTTGCCTTAGGGGTCCCTGGACCTCCTAGTCTAAAAGAGGAAAAGTAAATGTTGCTATACCCGTTTAAAAAAGTACTATGGTGCAGTAATGGTAGAAAGACCCAGTGTGTATGTGTGTTTGGTTCAGGTAGGCTATTCCCTATTCCTTATGTTGTGGGGAATATGGCAACACAGTTTGCACAGTGTGTGTGTGTGTACACGCTTCCAGAGGATAGACCTAAGTATAATCGGTTTGCGCCATCTAGTTGTCACTGAATTATAAAGAAAGAAACAGTAGTGACTGCATGCAGGAACACTTTCTCTTTTAATGCCATGCGTTTCATAATAAAAGTAAAACAGTAATAGGCTACATTGAAATACTTTTATTAACATTTCAGAAGAAGATCATTTAAGCTACACATATTCACAAAAGACCGCATTCAAATGTTGTCCTTGTATAAGTAGGCTATTCGTGTTTTGTAATGTTCATTAACGTCTTGTTGATTGTCGCATTTTATAATTATTTAATTAGCATCAATGGCATTTTATTTTCTCACAGATTATATTGTGTGTAGCCTATTACTGATTTGTTAATATTGTAAGTAACAGCGATGCCAATAAAGTTTAAATTTAATACAAAAATTGTTGGGTTAGTCAAAATTTTATTAAAACTAACAACTCAAAAGCAATATTTAGCATTGAGTTACATTTTTAGAGCATACATTTCGTTTTAAGTTCTCGTTGTAAAAAAAAAGGTTGGTAAAACAAGCTATAATACAGTGAGTAGTTATAAGATACAAATATTACTGTGACTACTGTGTAGTATTTGTGCAATAAATGTGTAATATAAACAAATATAAATCTAACGTGCACGCTTGGTCACGAACATCCACGAGACGTAAACAACGCGCGCGGACGCGATGAATTATGGGATATCTTCCGTCGGCGGCGCGGTGCCGCCATGTCTCCTGAAGATAAACGGCGGCTAGTCGTTTTCTCCGCTGTGGTCTTCTCGTTATTCCTCCTTTTACTCGTTTTGAGCTACATACCAGCTTATTTGTACATACTTTTTATCTGTGTCGCGTCTTGTGTTGTTTATTTTCACAAAGCGGAGGAGCTGCAGCTCTTCGAGAGACTAGGCCTCAATCCTCGCCGTGGATTGAGCGTCCCGCCGGCTCTTTTGCGCTGGTTACCGGGTAGGACTTTGAGCGGAGTCCCGGCCGCAGGCAAAAACAAGATACGTAAAAGTGATGCTAGAAATTCCTTTGCGTCACCCAGCGATAGACATTTTGCAGGCTCGTTTTATAGAAGAGAACACACGCTCAGTGACTCGGTGTTCAGCCCTCGGGATTTACTCATGGGAAGTTACCTCGCCAAGGCTGAAGAAAGCCCCTCCGCCGCCTTGAGGCCCGCTGGAGGCTCGGGGGCTTTCGTCCACCCCAGAGATCACCTCCGGGAGAGACTCGCCCGACCTAATCATGCTGTGCACACCCCTAACAGGAGACTGTCATTCGGGTAAATGCTTTGTCTTGTCAGCCAGAAGGCACTTCAGTTTATACCTGCTCTTTACACTATGACGTTAGCAGTTCACGTGTAGCGTCTATCAGCCTAATGTTTGTACACGTTTAGCTTTCTCGGTTGTTCTAACATGTTACGTTGTGCCAGTTTTCCCTCCATGATTTGAAATGGTGGGAGTTCCTGGAGCTGGTCAGGCGCGCTGCTCCTCCTACACCAGTTTGGACGCCTGACACTACACGTGTAGGGTTGCATAAAGCTTCCAACATAATATGAAACTGCATTTTGACAGCTTCGTAAACGCACTTGCATCGCTGATTTCCATAACACTGCTAATACTAGGATTTAGAAACATAATGGATTACTTTTTTTAGCCAATGTTTATATATATTACTCAAGTCTTGAATATTAACACAATTATTAGTATTAAAAGTATAACAATTTCTTGTTTTGTGATGCTCTGATACATACAATGTGTATCAGGGCATCAATCAATCAATATGTATATATATATACATATATATATATATATATATATACACACACACTTGCACATACCCACTCACTCAAATGTATACATGTGTATGTGGATTTATAAGGAATAGTTGCTGTGGGTGGCTGCCAGTCTATAACATTCTGCCTAAGATTACAGCAAAATGGAAATATTTGCATGACTAACATTTAACATCTAACATTTATAGGAGAATTTGTGAAATGTTACTGTCTGAGGGAAAACACTACATCTCAAACACATTAAAACATCACAGCTATCTGTCAGATTCAGAGCACAAGACAGGACAGACTGCTTTAAATTATTATAGATGTTATCTATCTGTGTCTTACAAGTTATCTTAAAGCCCTTAAAATAAAGCATGTTTAGTACTAATTTTAATATGCACGTTCCACGCAGCAGCTTATTGTGTTCTCCGCTATTTTTGAGATGTACTCGTATCAAACTACTGTATATTTATATAAATGGTATTGCCTCATTTCTATCATTAATAAAAAATGTATATATTGTACAGAGTTTATATACCACCCAGCCCTAATATACATGGAACTTTTGTCAAAGATTTTTTGAAGAACTAACTAATTGAAGTTTCGCTATCATCAGGGACCCTGTGAGCGCTGCGAGTCGATTCACCATCACCCCCCACAGACATTACACTCTTCAGCAGACGGGGACGTCTCCCATCGGAGTGATGCCACCCGCAAAATGGGATGGATTCCATAAGAAGAATATTCTCACTCAGCGCAATTCGCCTACTGTTCACAGTCCGGTCACGGTGAAAATCGCCAGACCAGACCCCACTCGATCATCATTGTGAGTCTCTTCCGATTATTTTGAGTGGATTGAATGCACTAGCATTACAAATGCTTTTGTTTCTGCTTGTAGTCTAATTAAGAAATCCAATTTGGGATTACGGAAAGATTAAGGTCGCTAATGTGAACGCTACATTCTGTTTCTAGCTTCAATCACCTGACCTCACCTGGAGCTGTCACATCCCCAGGGATTGGAGCACAGACAGACCCCTGCTCCAGAGAGGCTGTTCTGAGCGTGCTCCGAGAGAGCAGAAAGAGAGAGGTTGATGATGAGGAGAAGAGTGCTTCCTCTGGGCAGAAGAGCAAAAGAAGGTATGTGAAGGAGCGATAGCAACCAAACGAAAGTCACTTTACTTATTCCATCACACAATCTTATCCTTAAAGGGTTAGTTCACCCAAAAATGAAAATTAAGTCATTAATTACTCATCCCCATGCTGTACCAACCCCGTAAGACCTTCGTTCGTCTTCGGAACACAAATGAAGATATTTTTGATTAAATTTGAGAGCTGTATAACTACCACATTGGCTCCTAAAGGACTGCCTCTTGACGGCCCAGAAAGTCAATGAAGAAAATGTTTAAATATCCCAAGTGACTACCGTGGCTCAACTATATGTTTTTTTAAGTGACGCGAATACTTTTTGTGCGAAAAAACAAACAAAAATAACGAGTTTATTCGACTATTTCTTTTCTTCCTTGTAGGCCAGAACGAGACATCCTTAGATTTCCACGACGCATGCGCGAGATTTGCGATCTGCTCACACCAGCTTACACTACTTCAGATCGCAATTCTCGCGCATGCGTCGTGGAAATCTAAGGAAGTCTCGTTCTGGCCTACAAGGAAGAAAAGAAATAGTCGAATAAACTCGTTATTTTTGTTTGTTTTTTCGCACAAAAAGTATTCGCGTCGCTTGATAAACATATAGTTGAGCCCCGGTAGTCACTTGGGATATTTAAACATTTTCTTCATTGACTTTCTGGGCCGTCAAGAGGCAGTCCTTTAGGAGCCAATGTGGTAGTTATACAGCTCTCAAATTTAATCAAAATATCTTCATTTGTGTTCCGAAGACGAACGAAGGTCTTACGGGGTTGGTACAGCATGGGGGTGAGTAATTAATGACTTAATTTTCATTTTTGGGTGAACTAACCCTTTAAATCTGTTCGTTTATAGCTTTCCATGCTAATAAGAACAGAAGGCTTGCTGTTGGTTTTCGAAATCTCACTGAATAAATGTCTTGCTTTTCAGGCGACATGACAGCAGTGAAAGTTCTCAGTCAGCATTTGAGCCACTTCTTGCAAATGGAGCTCCGTCTCAGCTTGTGCCAAAGTAAGTGAATGTTCACTTTCCTCTGTAGTAGTCTACTTCTACATCTGATAAACGCTGATACTTGACTGATTATGTCTCCTCCCCTCTGCAGACCTGGCAGTATGAAGAGAGGAATGAACTCCTCTCTCAATGAAGAGTCCATCATGAAGCGTTCTCGTACCTCCTCCATCAGCTCCATGAGTGGTGCTCCTGTTCCCAGTGGGGTCCCTGGATCTGTCCGAAATCCCATTCGCAGTTCCTACAGTTCCTCACAGGGTTATCCACAGGTATTTCATTTGATTATTTTTCTGAAGATTTATAGTGTGGTAAATTGAGGAAATGGAATGAAAAGGATCATATTTAGTGAGTATATCGATGGTTATTGCTTATTTTTTTTGTAGGGATGCGCCGATATGAAAATTTTGGCCGATAACCGATACTTCTTTACATTTGAAAGCCGATAACTGATATATTGGCTGATTAAATTTAAATTCATATTTTGATATACTTTGATATTATAAATACAAAAACAAAAGGCTTGCCATTAAAAGCCATGTCCCAAACATTTCAACTTAAATCAAGCATATACAATACAGTAGCCTAGTTTGAACCAGTGTAAGATTCCTTAACTTTTAAAATTAATTTTACACTCCTATGGCCAACTTTCTTTATAAAAAAATGGTAACACTTTAAATCGTTAAAAAAAACATGTTTCATTTTGTTTGCATTGGTTAACTAACATGAACCTACAATTAATTAACAATGCTGAATAAAATTAATAACGCTGTATGAGAACAGATGACTAACATCAGTATAAACCACAAAAATTTTTTTTTATTTTTTTTTTAAATATTTTAATCATTCTGTGTTATTTTTTATGTCAATTCTTTTCACTATTTATATAACGCTCTAACCGGAAATTCCGGTTGTGCAAGTAGTTGTGCTAGTAGTCCATTAAGCGCTTTACTGCATTGTTAATTAACTCAACCAAACGCATACTGCTATATGAGATTATATATATATATATATATGTACACAAAATAAGCATTTTACAATGGCACAAAATGCTGCAAATGCGCAAGTGAACTTGACTATGCCTGTCATGAAGGCTTTACTACGCGATCGTCGCTCTAAAACACTGGCGATCAAGAAATCACAACATGCTTTTACAGTCGTGCTCTTTGATTCATCGGCCTAATTTTACTAATCAGATTGGTATCAAAAATGACCATCTATCCATCTATCGGCCCACGTCAATGTGGTCGATATGTCATGCATCCGTATTTTTTTTTGTATTCATTGACTCATGCCCTTCAATTTTGTATTTACAGAGAAGAGCAGCATCCAGTCTCAGTCTTTCTCCTTTCACAAGCCCAGGAGGATCTCGGTGTCAGACTCCAGAGAGAGCTGCTAAGAAAGCAAGGTAAAAATTAAGAAAATGTCTCTTAAGCACAAAGGCTGTTAAAATATGATAAGTTTTGTGTTTAAATGTGTGTGTGTGTGTGTGTGTGTGTGTGTGTGTGTGTGTGTGTGTGTGTGTGTGTGTGTGTGTGTATATACACACACACACACTATCTGACTATATATTATTGCAAAGCAGTCTAATATGTTTATTAATGTTGTGCATTCTTTGATTAATAGTTTGAAAGAACTGTTTATTTGAAATATTTGTTAATTGTCTTTCCTGTCATTTGGCATATTTAACGCACTATTGATAGAAGTATTTATTTCTTTAAAAGAACTCACTGACCCCAAACATTTAAACTTTTAAAAACTTCCACTCTGTTCTGTAAACACACCTGCCAAATGTCAGATAAACGCATAACTAGTCTGATTATTCAGGGCTTAAGACATTGTTACTGTTATAAACTATTTTGTGTGCTTTAGGGAGGACGATGCTACTTCACCAAATTCCACATCCTTTGTAAAAATGGATAAGGTGACAACTGATCCTGCGCCTGCTACAAGTGAGGAAACATGTTAGCTGTTTCATTAACACGTTGTTCTTTATGTATTAACTAATTAAACTCTATATAACACAGAATTGTTTGTTAATATAATTACTAATTTGTAATTATACACATTTTAATTTGGGTGTGTTTGTACCAGCTAAACTTACTCCAAAATCTGAGGCACCTGTTGCAACATTAACATCAGACTCTGGAGGCAGCAGTGGGAAACGCAAGCGCAAAATCCAGCTGGTCACCACAAACAGAGGAGATCACATTTCTATGGTAAGCTGCTGTAGATACACATTTCCCCCACACATTTGCATCTTTGATATTCATCATTGTAACATTGTGTCTGCAGCCACCACCTCCCGAACTAGGATATACGATCACAGTAAAAGATCTAGATATGGAGAAGAAAGCGGCACTCAGCCAGATACAGAAAGTCCTAGAGGAACCTGGTAAGTTCTTTACACTATTTGAAATGGCTGTAGTAGATGCAACAAAATCAAGTCCTTGAAGCAACATCTTTATTTTTTCCAGAGCCAGAGATCCTTCCTCCAGCATCTGAACCCACCCCAGCTCCAGTTCCCTCTTTAACCCTGTTTTCCCAACCAACTCCAACCTCCTCATTCGGGACTGCGCCTGCTGTGAGCGCTGCGCCCGCTCCGGTTTCTCTCTCCACACCTTTGCCTGTGTCCACACCAGCCACTACTACAACTCCTGCTCCAACTATTGACCTCACCGTCACTGTTCCCAGCATGGCCAGTACTGCACCCCTGACTTTCACCTCAGCCCCCTCCATCACTACCACCCCAACTGCCCCAGCTACAAGCATTTCAAACCCTCTGCTGGAGTCCTTGAAAAACATGAAGAATAATTCTCCTTTCAATGCTTCCACTATGATGAGTACTACTACTGCAGGTTTGCATAAATTATGTTATACTGTTTTTACAGATTTTTTTTAAGCTTATATTATTTTAGTCTTCAGCGTCATTCTTTAGAAATAATTCTAACATTGACGTCACTTTCCTGCCTGAACAACTGAGTGGCAAAAGATCTGCTGCGTGACGATTTAATAGGGGAAACTGCGACTAAAATGAACAATTTTATCAATTTAAACTAAATGTTGAACTCAATATAGTGTTCCTTACAACTTACTAAAGATCCAGTGATCCATGGATATTGACGCGTCACGCAGCCAGGATTCGTGTTGCCTGACATTTATGTTTGCCTGATTTCAACACCAGGGAAATAAAAGCAATATAGACCTAAACATAAAGCAAATTTGGCTGTGATCGCTTTATGTAAGTACAATATAGGTAGGTCTAAATCCGTATATATATATATATATATGATATATGATATATATGATATATATATATATATATGATATATATCATATATATATATATATGATATATATCATATATATATATATATATGATATATATCATATATATATATATATATATATATATGATATATATATATGATATATATATATGATATATATGATATATATATATATATATATATATATATATATCATCATATCGTCCAGCCCTAAAATGTTATCGTTTTTTCTTGGTCAGTGTTTATTAAAAAACATCCAATAATGCAGAATATGCAATGATAAATATTTAATTGATGAGTTGTTAATATTTATATCAATGCAAAATATATGGGTATGGGTTTACACCTAAATTCAGCATATTGACACAAAATTATAACTGCAAATCCACTTTTCGCTGACTGGAGTCGAGTTGTTTCTGTGAAATTGCAGAGGTCCAATTGCTCCTCTTTCAGCAGTCTGTAAAAATATACCTCCGATTTTTTGTCAAATCTAAGTGTACAGTCTATCGCAAAGCTCTTTCCCATTTTATATCTTATATATCATAATTTTGTTGAAACCGTGATGATTTAAGAACAGCATTTACTTAATGTTCTTTTTTAACATTATAAATGTCTTAACTGTCACCTTTGATCAATGTACTTTAACATGAACTGTCTTTCACTCCATATGCAGCTCCAGCAGTGTCTGTGTACAGTCTTTCTACACCTGCAGTTTCCACGAACACTAGCGGTGGATTTGTCAAATCTGAGTCGGGCCTTGCCACTCTTCAGAACTCATTCGCTGCCCCATCCTCCATATCAACACCTGCCTCCAAGCCAGCCACCTCCATGCCCTCTGCCTTCGCTCAGATCTTGGCCCAACCGCTTCAATCCTCACCAAGCACGCCATCCCTGGGCGGAGGAGGCAGCCTTTTCAGTGTGATCAAACCTGTGGCCACACCTGCATCTGAGCCTCCTAAATCTACAGTTGCTGCACCTACAACCACGGTTGCGTCAGTCAACAGCATTAGCAACCCCCTGTTGTCTGGCTTTAAGCCCATTTTGAGTGCAGCAAGCACCACCCCTGCTTCCACAGCTGAGGTCAAAAGCACCCAGCCCACCTTCAAGCCATTATTTGGCAGTACCACAGGAAGTGGCATTACTTCCTTTGGGCAGACATCCACACCGACGACATCAACCCCTGCCGCTCCGACCGCACAGAACAGTGGGATGTTGTTTGGTGGACTAACCAGCACTCAGCCGACATTGGTGACTTCTGCTTCTGCCGCCCCGGTCACACAGACTCCCTCCCAATCTCTGTTTGGAAGCTGGACTGCAACCACCACATCCGCTCCTGCCACAAACGCCACGTTCCAGTTCGGAGCGCCATTGACCACAACGGCCGCCCCTGTGTTAAACACCAACACAGCTAGTGCCGGTGGCACCACCTCTGCTTTTCAGTTCGGCGGAGCTAAACCTGCACCCACACAGCAGCCCCAAAGCGCGTTCGCATTTGGCCAGCTGTCCACCAACCAGAACTCCACATCTGCTCCGTTCGGTGGGTTCGGCATGACCAGCAGTGCCGCCACTTCCTCGGCGGCATCCACAACACAAACCACTTTCGGGAGCTCAACCTTCACTGCATCTACAACCTTCCCAGGATCCACACAGCAGGCGCCTGCTGCTTCAAAACCTTTCACATTTGGGCCCAGTGGTGGAAGTGGCGGCGCAGCACCGTTTGCGTTTGGAGCCGCTGCCAGCACAGTAGCGCCTGCGTTTGGGACTAACAGTCAGCCTACGTTCGGTGCGGCATCATCTGGCTTCTCTTTTGGAAACACCACCACCCCTTCTGCGGCTCCCGTCTTTGGGGCCTCCACACAGACTGTGGCCTCTCTCCCTGGCCCCGCTCCCACGTTCAGCTTCGGAGGTGTGTCGACAGGCACTCAAAACACTGCTCCGAGTACTCCAGCGCCTCCTGCCTCTGGAGGATTTAACTTTGCGGCCTCACTTTCGGCAACACCATCATTTGGAACCCCTGGGCCTGCAGTTCAGACACCAGGGTTTTCCTTTGGAGCCAACAACACGGATAACAAGCCTGCTTTTGGTGAGCGTTTTTTTTTTATTTTTTTTTCAGAAGGACATAGCATAGTGCAGTGTTTCCCAACCCTGTTCCTGGCGGCACACCAACACTGCGTGTATTCTTTGTCTCCCTTATCAAACACACCTGATTCAACCCATCAGCTCATAATCAGGTGGGTTAATAAGCTGATGGGTTGAATCGGGTGTGTTTGATTAGGGAGACAAAGAATACACGCAGTGTTGGTGTGCCGCCAGGAACAGGGTTGGAAAACACTGGCATAGTGTATATAAGTGTATACTGCTTCATTCGGGACACGACTAACCAAGAATGCACTGTTATGGTGGTTACTACCTTTTTAGCAATGTTTTTAAAACCAACTTCAGTTAGATTTATTTTATTTTTTTCATATTGATTAATTTCAAAATGCATTTCTAATTTAGTACTACAGGATCTGGCATTAGTTCCTAGTTTAGTTTAATCATATTACTATTGTTTTGCCTTCATTAGTGCAATTACTAATGTTTATTTATTGGAAATTTGACAGAAAAGTGCTTAGCTTGAGTTCAGATGCAGAAAAAAAAAAGAACTTTTATTAACAAACGCCGTACAGTAATGTGTAGTATTCTACTCTGATTAAATGTACCATTATACTGAACTGTTACATTTACCTTCATCTTTAAACTTTTAGTTTTACAAATCATCACATTAAAATGGGATAATATTGAAGTGCTGAAAAAAAAGTCCTAAAAAAGGCCTTTTTATGCCTAATTACTTTTCTGTAAACCCCCTCTCAAAAGGGTTTCCAGAAATATTTGTCAAAGCCTACTAAAATCATAATTTCTCAGATAAAAACATGTAATAAAAAGCTGACGCCGCTCGAAATGATGCAGACACGTTTGCCAGGCTTAATAATGATGACTATGCACAGATGCGCGATCCGGTCTTAAAGGTAAACACACACAGATGAGTGATCCGGTTTTAATTGCTTAATTTCACTCTCAAAAGTTTGCATGAATCCTGAAATGAATAATTTAAAAACATGCAACTATTTCTGCGACAACCATGGTTCGAAGTTAGCGTTGCTACATTAAAGGATTAGTTCACCTCAAAATGAAAATTTGCTGATAATTTACTCACCCCAATGCCATCCAAGATGTTCATGTCTTTCTTTCTTCAGTGGAAAAGACATTTTTTTGAGAAACATTTCTCCACGCAATGGACTTCAATTGCAACCAACGTTTTGAAGTCCAAATCAATGCAGTTTCAAAGGGCTATGAAGTGACGCGCCAGGGATTACGTCATTATGTTGGAAATGTCACGCCAACGTCATTAGGCTGAAATGTGATCGAAAATTGTAATATCGAAATATTTATTTAACTATTAACATTTTTCAGCAAATTTGTATTTGTTAGTATTGCTTTAGAATTGGTTAAAGTTTGAGGTATTTAATGATTTGGCTAAATCTTAGATTCTCCTTGTTTGTCTTGTGTTATCTTAGGAACATCTACTCCTGCTTTTGGTCAGGCGCCTGCAGGAATGCAGATGCCGTTTGGCAGTCCTGGAACCCCAGGATTCGGAGCAATGGGCGCCTCCTCGTTTGGTAAATTGCCTTTACAGGGACTTTTATAATAACCTGGGTCTATTCTATCTTTTTGTTCACTCTTTAATAATTTTTTTTAATCTTTTAGGTGCTTCACCAGCTACCTTCTCTATTGGAACGGGATCCAAGTCCTCTGGGGCTCGACGATTACAAGCCCGCAGGCAGCACCCGAGGAAGAAGTAACACGGCTGATGTGAGTCCTGTCCCTTTCATTATTGTCAAATGGACTCTGTTACTACTCCTCCGGCTGTCCCACCTGCCCCAGACACTGCTGCTACTGCTGCTGGTCCAAACACAGACCTCATCTCTACAACCCTCCAGACTGCCAGGGCTGGTCCGCTGTGTAGGATCAAGGCTCAGAGAGTGTAGATTTTTAGAGTACCGGGCGACCCCATCTCTGCTGTTGGGTGCGCCCACCGAGACTCATCACAACCTCGCTAATGGAGTCTGTAAATGTCTGATGAGGACGTCGGGTGTTCGGGAAGGATAGCGAACAGGAGCGTATTATACTTGAAAGAAAAAGAGACTTTCAAATCTGGACACTCAATTTCAGTCCAGGCCTGTTGGATGACACAGAATCTTATTTTTGACTTTAGTTTTTGGTTGAGAAATCAGATGCTCTTTATTTTAAATCCAGTGAATATATATATATACACATTTGTTTTTTTGCAGTTAGCATACATTTGTCATGCTTTTTCATCATGCTTAGCAGATCCTTCGCAATTTTAAAGCCTTCAAAGTGTGAAAAAAACCTCTTTTTTTGCCTGAGTGAGCTGCATAATAAACAATTTAATTTTACACCGATTTTTCTGCACGTTCCTTTAAGAGAAGCAGTTTACACGCATACGTCGAACTTCTGCCTGTTTAAAACCAAAGCTAATGTTTCATTGTGACGCTCCTCTGTCCGCCACACCATTGGCTGTTTTACTACCTCTCCATTTTAAACGTGCATCTGTGTCCCAGCTGAATTGCCTCATTCGAATTACTGTTAATTATACCCTTAAAGTCGGCACTTATCGCAAGCGTGTAGGCAAAACCTCATGTTCCTATATATCTCTGTGTTACTCTCATAACGGCCTCGTTTTATTTCCGTTAAACACTTTCATTGCTGTGTGCCTTAGTGTGTTTTGCTCATGGTTGCTCATATTATGGATGTCGGATTTATACTCTGAGACACGGATGCCTGTTTTTCATAATGTGTAAGAGCGTTTTAGATGATTTAAAAGAATATGATCTCAAGTTAAGAGATTTTGGTCCAACTTCAAACTCTGTAGAAGAGCAGCTTTGAGTGAAGGTGTGCGAAATAACTTGTTTTGGAAATAAACATTTGACTGTGATCAGGTGCAAAAAATTCAATTTAAAGTGCCCCTAAAGTGCGAGTTTCGGGAATGTAGAGAATGTGACGTTTGCGTTGCGGGATGTTGGTTTAAAAACTATTTTGCTCATTTACCTTCAGATCTGATTTAACCTAGAGAGGCTTAAGGACTATTTATATTGAACTTTTTTTACGTGCATGTATACCATTACTGAATCATTCCTGGCTTTGTATGAATCCTATGGTTTGTGCATGCTTGTGATGTTTTAAAATACCAATATTGATCGGCATGTCTTCAGAACGTTCCTGAATCAGAAACATATTCTCAGGTCTGTTAAGTGAATGAGCTGTGTAATATGATTTGATGTTTTTAGTCAATATACAATGTTGTATATTTACAAAACACTGGATTTAAGTACGTCAATGCACAAGTATGGAAGCACAAAATCACCATTTTAGGGTTTTTGTATTTTTGTTCACCCCGTATAATTCTTTGACCCAAAAAATACACTTAATTGGGTACGGCAAAAGTTTTTTTTTAATGGTGCAGCGCCACCCTAGTCCCCCTTGCATGCGACTCCTCATGTAGGTCTTAACGACATAATTTGTAATCACATTTTTGAAGCATCCTCATGCCCAGACTGATGCAAGGAGGCATGGGACCAGGCTTTCTGTTTATTAGAAAGCTGTACCAATACAAGTGAGACGTGTAGACTGTTGAGAAAATGAGGTGTGCGCTGGATATCTCCAGCTGTGAATGTTTGAGATTTGCGGTTGTATCTAGTTGTTTGTTTTTAAGATGTTGCTGTAAGTGAATGCTCACAGTTTGTGTGTAAATGACCCTTCCCACTAACCCTCAAAGCGCGAGTGGATTGCTGGATGAAGCGGCACATGGATTGTGTTGTGTCTGCTTAAATGCTCTGATAATGAGATGCTGGTTTTGAATAAAAATGGATAAAAGTTGATTTGCAGTGGATTTCAGTTGCGCTCATTGTGTTCAATGCACGACAGATAATTCCCACATTTCCCACAATGTATTTGCAATTAATCTAAAACTTGGGATTAACTTTATATTGTTTATTATTACATTTGAATAATAGCAGGGGTCAGTGTCCAGTGGTAGTTTAGCTGAGCAGAGTCACCATACTAAAAGGTTCAGGGTTCTTGCTTTTTGTGTTTCTTTCTGTTTCTCCTTTTCTTCTTTGAGCTTGGATTTGCAGGTTGTTCGTTTGCAGTCTGCGAGGTCTCCTGTTCCTCGTCGGATGGACTGGATTGTGGTGTGTCCTGCTTTTCCTCACCACCAAATGGTAATGTTGTGCTGTGACGATCACAAAATCACATTTATATAACCAAAACAAGGCTGACAAGAGCAGTGACTTTAATGACAATTAAGAAATTGGTACTG